CCCCTCCCTCTCCCCCACCGCCACACACGCCCCTCCCCCTGCCCCCACCGCCACGTACGTCCCTCCCTCCGTCCCCACCGCCACATACGCCCCTCCACCTCCCCCCACCGCCACGTACGCCACTCCCCCCGGCCCCATCGCCACCTATGCTCCTCCCCCCGTCCCCATCGCCGCATACGCCACTGCCCCCGTCCCCATCGCCGCATACGCCCCTCCCCCCGTCCCCCTGGTCCACCCCGCAGCCCGGTTCGTCCACTCCAGCCACCGATTTGTGCCCGTTCCCCGGTTCGTGCCCTCCCCGCTGCTCTCGCCGGCCATGAAGGAGGACGACAAGTGCTGGTGTGTTGAGATTGGGGAGTGGGTGGTGAGGGGGCTGGTGTGTGCGTATGAGTGTGTGTGTAACGGCGTGCGGTGCTTTGCGATGTGGGTGTGGGATGGGGTGAAATGGGTGGCCACGTGTGGCACGTGTCGGCTGTCTGGCAGGGACATCGGAGGCAGAGGGCCTGGCGGCCATCGCTGTCTACATTTTACATCCGGCTGTTTCTGTCTGGCAAGGACTCGTCACGATCTGATGACCCTTAATTTTATCATCAGTTGGCTCGTCACACCCTTTCACAGCGCTCGATGCCGGCCGGAGCATGCACGAGTGTCCGTGTTCCTCTCGTCATGCAGACGGACACTCGTGTGCTGTGTCCCTTCAAACCACCGTATTCTTAGCGATGATCGATCTTCTGCCTCGCGAAGGGCGCATCAAAAAGTTCCGAAGTTCCCCATATATCCGTGTGTCTTCCTTCCTGCGTGCACGATTCATGCAATTGGCCATGGATGTCAAAAAACGCACATAGCTACATAAAAGAGACATACATAGATATGAATTGTCCGGCAGACGGAAAAATGACGATAGCTGGACGTCGACAGGGTGGACGGACCAATCTGAAGAGTCCATCCACCAATCGAGATCGATCCACTTAGCCATCCAGCACCAAAACACCAAAACAGCTCTGTTTGTAGGTTTGTATGTGGGTGTGCATGCCATGCAAGTAGGTATGTAAGAAAACGCACCACGGTATCGCTCTTGGACCCGCCTACACAGACAGACACGAAGCCACTCACACGCACACACACATGCACACATATACACATGCACACACACGCATGTCTGTCAGTCAGAAGGTAGACAGACGCGACACACACGCCCAGCCCAAATCCCGACCGCCATGAGCCAAAATGCTCGCACCACATACACACAGAACACACAAAGGAGACTGCCACCGTACCGTGTTAGAGGGGTGGTTTGATTTGGACCGGTCATGTCATGCGGCAGCCGGGCTGCCCGAGAAGGGCGGCTTGATGCCCTTGGGGATGGCGCTGAGCTTGTTAGAATACTCCTTGACGTCAGACAGCTCCTGGTTGTTCATCAGCTTCAGGTCGGCTATGCTCAGCACTCCGTCCCCTACACACACACACACACACACACACACACAGACAGGCATGTGTACAAGTGTGTGTATGGTTCTGAATGAGGTGTGTGTGCGTATGTACCGTTTTTGTCGAAGAATCTGAAGGTGCCCTGGATGTTCTCGAGGTCCTCCCTGCTCACGAGTTTGGTCTTCTCCAGCATGTAGAGCAGGAACTCCAGCTCGCTGACGGAGCCGCTGTTGTCCAGGTCAATGGCGATGATCCTGAACACAAACGCACAGGCACACACACACATGCATTGAGCGAATGTGTAGGCCGCGGGTGTGCTTTCGTGTGTACCGACCGACCGTTCGAGTGTGAGTGCCTTTCGGTAGAACATCTTCCTGTCGGCCGCCTGCTTCCTCCCCACTATCTCGCTCGTCACCTGCACAGGCATACAGAGAGTATCGGACGTCCACACGCATCGAGAATGCCCTCTCTCTCTCTCATCCTCACCCCCTCCCTCACTGGCCCACTGACTTGACTTACCTGTCCAATGACGTTTGAGGTCATGATGACGCCGATGACGGCATACAGCATGCACACGCTCTTGGTCAGCGGATGGCTCGGCACCAGGTCTGGACAAACACACAGAGATAACCCGACAGAATGTGGCAAGGCGGTCTCTCTCCTCTGTGTGTGTCTTGTCTGTCAGCGTCTGACCTCCGTATCCGACGGAGCTGAGAGTGACAGTGGAGAAGTAGAGGGCCTGCAGGAAGCTCCAGTTCTCCATAGCCGAGAAGAACGCCTGACCAACACACACGACGTCAGTGCAGTCAAGGCTCAGTGCGTCAGTCCATCGTGTGGGTGCGTCATCCACCTACCGCTCCTAGTAGGAGGAAGATGAGTATCTGTCCGATGGCGAGGCCGATGAGTGTGTTGTGGCTGACAGTCACATCGCCGACCATGTTGGCCGCAACCGTACCAATGGCGAAAGAGATTAGCGTGATGCTGCACACCACACACACACACACGGACACTTGCACTCAGACACACCCGTCGCGGCCCTTGTGTGTGCCATGTGCCACTCAGCCACCTGATGAATATGTACACGATTTGGAAGGTCATCATGGCGGAACTTTCGGGCTCCAAGTCGCCGTAGCCCACTGTCGTGATCGTTATCTGGATGGAGCAGATGTGACAGACAGACAGCACACATCAACACTGCTTGTTCACTCACCGCCGAGAAGTACAGTGCATTGACGATGGGCCATCCAGCAACGAAGTGGTACACACACGCCCTGACATGACGAGCAAAGCAGGAGGATGCTGATTGTATATGGGCGTGTGAAATGCGATTTGGTTACCCGAACAGGAAGTGTGCAGTGAAGAGCCCAAACATGAGAGCCGTGAACCCCCATGACTTCATCGTGCCCTACATCCACCACATCCACCCATACACCCATCCCGTGACCACCACACACTGCTCTCCCTCCCAATATGCGCCGTGCACACAGACTGACCTCATATTCCTCGTCCGTGCTCACAAGCGACAGCATCGACGCCTGCCCGATGAACGACTGCGTCACGCCCCGAGCAAACCCCCGCCAGCCTACCGGCCCTCGAGCTGCCGGGTGCGGCGCGTTGGTGATGAGGGTGCGGACTGACGCTTCGGGCATCGATGTGGCTATCGATGTGGCTATCGATGGGGTCCCGACGATCTCACCATCCTGTGAGCACAGGGGTGAGAGGCACAACAAAGGAGTGGCTGAGTGTGTGGCGGTGCGACTGGTGAGCGTTTCCTTACATCAAGGAATGGCCTGCGGTTCTCAATGTCGCCCGACATCAAATCAATGCGCCTGCGAAGACCACGACAGAAGTGGAATGCGTAGACGTCCATCATGATGTTGTGCAGAGTGCATGACTGACTGACTGTGATGCGATGCATCACCCACCTGCGTGTCTGCTTGAGAGCTGGAGCTTCCAACAGAGATAATCTTATCCGGTGCTTGCGCCGTCGAATCCGTTGCGCTACGTCACGGAGCACTCACTGCTGCTCTCGACTGTCGCTCTCAGGTGAGAGAGAAAGTGTGTTCGACAGATGCGGTGCTGATCTTTTCTGCTGCTGAATCAGATCTTGCAAGAGATCTCCCGGGAGTGATATCACGACCGCACCAGATCTGCCGTTGAGCGCGCAGATGCAACGGTCACCTGGTCAATAATGCACGATTTTATCTTTGTGATAGCACATCCCCTCGTCCGGGACCGTGCCCGGCACCTCCTCACGTTCATTGACGGGTCGCCCTTCTTCAAACACGTCCGCATATCCGTCGAACAGCTCTTCCCACAGGTGAGCATCGCCCGCCTCAGTCTCGCCTCCTGTCTCAGTGTGCTCCACACGTTCATGGCATTGCGTGCAGGATGCGCCGGCCTGCAGTGCCCGCGAGGTGTTTGAGGCTGTCATGGACGCTGTCGAGCCACACACGACAACCGAGAGCCTCTTCATCATCGATGGTAGAGACGACGGTCACCGGCACCCACAATGCCTGCCTTCGTTGCCCCCTGTCTGTTATCGCCCCTGCAGGCCTGCCGCGTTCGCTTGCCGACTGGAAGATTTGGCTGATGGCCCTCGGCTCCCACTCCCGCATCCGGTATGTCGTGCTCATCGACCATCCTGACGGCATCATGCCGGCCCTCTCACAGACACTGAAGAGCCTCACCCTCCCGCCCCAACCAGCACCTTCGGAAGAAGAGAAGAAGGCGGACGAGGGAGCCGCAGAGAAAGCAGAGAAGGCAGGGACTACGGCTGAGGATGAAGGACAGAAGGAGAGGGAGGAGACAGAAGAGAGAGAGGTGAATCGGTCCCGTGAGGTGTATGAGCGGCTGCACGAGTCGTATGAGGCCTACGGGAGGGAGACGGTGCCCATTCTGAACAACCTCTACCGAATCGGCAAACTCAGATCGGTCAGAAGGAAGAAGAGAAGAAATGGCCTGAAGGGTTCTCATCGGTGTGTGGTCATTGTAGATCATTCTTGATCCCTACGTCGACTTCTCTGCGTCTGTGGCCTATGGCTGGTCCTGCCTGAACGCCATCCTCGCACAAGCGGCCAAGGAGGACGACAGGCTCAGATTCTTCCGGCCACTGCCGAGTGAGACAGAGAGAGAGGGAGACACCATCACGAGGCCACTTGCAGACACCAGCTGCGTGTGCGTGTTTGGCGTCAGGTTCCTTTGTGGAGGGCGAGGGGCGTGATCGGTTTGGTCAGCCATTCGGGGCTGTCAATGTGATGGCCGTGCAGACGGCCACACAGTGAAGAACCAGCTTTGGCTGCGTGGGGACAGGTGGTCGGTGCATGTGTCGATGAATGAATGAATGAATGGATACGTTCACTCATCCTTCATTCAAGGCAAGTATCAGACCGCAAGCCCTCTGCTGCTTTGCTGCCTGGGTGCGAATAGCTGCCATTGACGTCTCCCGTGGCCGTGATGGCCACTAGGCCACGGGAGCCGTCGGCGCAGCATTCTATAACCAGTCAGCACCTCCACAGAGGAGGGGGTCATGTCATGTCGAGATAACTCGTCCCACCACATCTCACCCCAACCCAGAGAGACACGCAGCAACAAGGCGAGAGTTCCTCGTCGAGCACACGCCAGGACATCCATCCATCCATCCATCCATTCATCAGTCGGTGCTGGGCTCCTCCAGTGCATTCAATATCGCAGGCAGACACCGGAAACACTCCGGCAGCCACGGCAGCGACACGAACGGCACCTCCAGACCGTCAAAAGCGAACAGCGTCCTCTCCCGTATGTCCCGCTTCAGCACACTCGCATCGCGCAAAGACAGGGAAGGCCCATCGGCAGCCGGAGGCACCTCCATGGCGTCAACAGCTTCGTTGTTGCTGTCGTCCTCTGCATTGTCGCCAGTGGTGGTGTGATGGTGTCGAATGGCCGGGATCTTGGGGTATCGCTGACTGAAATGGGTCAGGATCAGGTACCCACAGCCGGTGCGCTCGGCTGAGAGAACAGAGGGCAGGGAAGAGGTTGCAGAGCGCTGGTGTCAGTGTATCTCTGTGTCCTTTCTGCGCGTACCGATTTGGAAGGCTTCGTCGAGTGTGCTGTGGAGCTTCTCGATGGCCTCGGTGCGCAAACCATCCTCAAACGTGGCTGACAGAATGCACGAACACACAACAGCTCACGAGAAATCGACAGGGCAATGCTGTTATAGCCAGGCGCACCTTCGTGTATCAGCAGGTCACAGTTCTTCGCGAGAAGGGCCACCGCGTCGCATGGCCGCGTGTCGCCCGAGTAGACCACGTCAGGCAGCCCATCCATCGCCACACGAATGGCTGCGTCATCAGAGAGGAATAGTGAGCATGGGAACCCACAGACATGCCCACTCTGTCTGCCCATCTGCGTACCGAATGAGTCGGGGATGTGATCCACGAGTATGCTGGCCACCCTCACGCCCAGCGCATCCAGCAGTGCATGACGCGACGCAACCCAACACGATGGCGCCTTCTCACCACCACCACCACCGGCAGCAGCGGCAGCTTCACTCTCGCCACCGTCGGTGCACGGCACGGTCCAGCAAGCCGATTGGTCTTCCTGTGGGGTGAGGTTGACGAAGCTCTCGGGCGGCGTGAAGGGTGCGTCGTGTGGTCGGATGATGAATCCCTCGGCCGGCAGGAAGCAGTGGGGGATGGCCTCCACACACTTGTGGTAAAAGGAATAGTACCGCTGATCGACACGCATCCACCCGCTGATACCCGCCCGCCACAACAAGTGTCTGCCTGTGTGGGTGTCTACCTGCATTTTGTGTGGAGCCATCAGCACGGGGGCCTGCTCCTGCGGCCACATCCGCCCCCGCAGCGACAGCAAACGGGCCACACCTGCATGCACAGTAGACCAACCGCGCCATACCATCCAAGTACACACGGGCACAGTTGATCCACCTACTGACTGACCCAGGTGATGGTCTGCGTGTATGTGGGAGACGTACACCACCCTGAACACATCACATTGGGAGGGCCGGACTGCCAACCAATGGTGCATTGTGTTCGTTGTATTGGCTCACTTGATCCGCTTGAGTGTGTCGGCAAAGCTCTCGTCCGACGTCTCGATCAGCCGCAGCTGTGACACGCTGCCCTCACCAAAGTCGAGCAACATACCTGCCCCAGAACAGAACAAAACAGAGCACACACACGGCCTCCCTACCTCCACCCATTCCCCTGTGCTGTGTGTGTCGTGGGTGTTGGCCCCTTACCTACCGAATGTCCGTGACATCTCGAGGAGTATGCCCGACACGTTGCGGAACTGCCCTGGCATCGCCGCACCCGTGCCCAGGAACCGCACACGGGGATACACACACCGCTGTGTTGGGTGGCGGGCTGGGGGTGTCTGGTCGTGCAGTTGGCGGCACTTTGCCAGCCGGTCGGCCACCACAGGAGTGTCCAGGCGAGACAGCCGCTGAGAGGAACACGGACAGAATGAGGGACAGCTGCACAGTGTTGATCGTCTGACCTTTTTTGAGAAGGTTGGCTTCGCCTTTCTGAGGCAAGAGGAATCATCAGCACCGACCTGCACACACACACACACACACACACACATCCACGCAGCACCTCGCCAAATGACTTTCGACACACTCTCTCACTCACTCACCCGGACTGGCGGCGAGAGCGTGACCTTCATCAGTGGCGCCACAGCCACATCCCCCTGCTCCTCACCCTCACCCTCCTCTTCATGCCGCCTCTTTCCACCCACCTCGTCGCCAGACGACGCACCCCTCATCACCGCATCGCCATTGCCGACATCGCCGCTGGGCTGCTCTTGCTCGTCAACGGCCATGGCGGCCGGGCCGCCGCCATTGGAGGGGCCGTTGTGCGTGCATGGCGGGAAGAGTGAGGGGAGTGCTTTCGCGAGGACGGCGTTGAGCGATGCTGACGAGGGGAAGAAAGACAGCTCAGACGAGGCGGTGTCGCCACTGAGAGAGACAGCCGCGTACGCGCAGGGAAATGTGTGTGTCACCAGTGGTGTGTGTGTCGATGGTTACCGGTTGCAGAAAAGGTGCCGCACTTTGAGTTGCGAGCGGGAGGCCAGACAGCGCATGAGGGCGTCGTAGGAGGCAGTCCTCACCAGCTGAACATACAAACCAATCAGACCACCAAAAACAGGTGGAGGGATAGATTAGAGGGATCATTCTGCATGTTTTGCTGGGCGCACCGATGGGTCAGTGAGGTGAAACACGTGCGCCAGGTGGTCAAGGCCATATGCTTCACTCCCGCGCGTCAGTGCTTCAGTCTGGCAGGGCGCACACGCACCATAAGTCAATGAATGCCTCCACTTCTGTCGTGCGTGCGTCCATCCATCCATACCATTTGCTTGACGTGTTGTTCATTGAGTGGCTGCAGGATGACGAAGCTCTGCCCCCTGAACCCAGGCTCGCACACGTCCTCCGAGCGCACCTGACACATACAAAGGCAACACACATGCACACACACCCCTTACACACGCGCCACACACACAACACCCTCGTCCACCCCACTCACCACAGTGCCGTCCTCCAGAGTGACGCTCTGCCCGCTCTTGAGCTTGCCAAACAGCGGCCCCTTGGGCACCTTAAGCGCATTCGCCCTCTCCACATCAAACTTGCCCGCCACATCGGGGCACCGACCCACACACACGACCGACGTCTGCCCGTCAGCAGGGGAGCATGTCGGCACCACTGCGTTGGGGAACACCGACGAAAAGCCGGGACTCTGCGAGACGTCGCTGCTGCCGTTGCCTCTGAGGCGCTTGTGGGGGAGGGAGGGGGCAGGGGCGTCGGCTGGTGCTAAGGTGGTGGTGGCCGTGTCGTCGTGATGTGTGTCTTGGGCGGCCTTGATGGGCAGCAGCTGGATGTTGAATGAGTCGCCCAGGTCGCACTCCGTCGGGGACGAGACCTCGCATATCGTCACGTCGATCTGACGCCTGCAGTGATGATAGAGCGGCCATAGTGCACGGACTGCGTGTGTGATTGACTATCATGCGCTTACAGGAATGCAAAGGTGCGTCTGACCCACTCGAAGTAGTCCTTGAGCGGCGGAGGCCCCCATATGCGGATGGCGTCGGCACCGCTGCCCTCCAAAGTCAGCAGCAGACCTGTAGACACGTACCGATGATTGACGAGCAGTGGAGGGAGTGTCTGTGGCCACCTGGCAGTCCTCCGACGTTTTCTGCGTTGAGTGCAGTGAGGATGATGTCACGTGTGCGGGACACACGCATCCGATGCTCAAGGCAGAACCTGCACCCATATATCACACTCACACAATTTCTCGTGGAGTGTGATATCTTCTCGTAGCTCAAGCGATGCCCTGACCTCTGCGTGTTTTCGCCCGCATTGATGAGAATGCTGCAGCCAGGCAGACAGACAAGCACAAGCACAAGCACAAGCACAAGCACAAGCACAAGCACAAGCCAGATTGTTTCGTTGCTTCAGTCAGTGTCTGGGTCTGCTCGTGTGTGACTGACTGACTGACTGAGTTTGACTGACCGTTCGCCCTCTTTGAAGAGCTGCAGGCCGGGAGGCACCGCCAGGGGGTGTGTGCCCAACACCTGCAGGTGCAACAATGCGTCACAGACGCTCGAGATGCAAAAGGGATGGAACGTGTTGAACGTGCCATGTCGTGTGCGGCACCTGGGCAAAGATGTGCATCGGTTTGACAGTGCACCGTCCCAGAGCCAGATCTTGGAGTAGCTTGGATAGCCGATGCCTCAACAGCTTGCCTCTCTCTGTTTTGACCCTTTTCAGATACGAGCTTGCGACAGAACGGCACTCGCCGCTCAGCGCTCGACGATGAAGCAATTGAGATGTGCAAATCATTCTTCGATTCATTCATTCATCAATAGGTCACGAGTAATAAAGTCACTTGCCACGCGGCCAAGGGGTTGACCAACATGAAGGTGTGTCGCATGGCATACCGCACCTTAGACACGATGGACGACGTCGGAATGCGATTTGTCGATGCGGCACGAGGAATCGGTCCCACAACAAACACACCTCCGTCGTCCATGGCCTCTGCCGGGCTGGTCCATGACGCTTTATCCATGTCACTTTATCCATAGGGGCATGAGACAATGCGCCCCACCCACCCTCGCCCCATCTTCTCATCAGTCATGATGCAAACATGTCCACATCGTCCTCCGCCCCGCCGGCCCCACCAGCACCCCTCAGCAACGTGTCCATCGCTGACACAACCAGAGGGATGCGGTGTGTGTGAGTGCGTGTGTTCCCTCCCTCTCTTTGTTCAGGCCGGATGACCCACCTTGTTTCCTCATGTCTTGGTCGAGAGTGCCGTCGGGGAGGACGTCTTGCCTCTGGTAGACCTGCACGTACGACTCGCTGAGGGCCACCAGCTGCGGCAGCACCGCCGTCACGCGCAGATCCTCCATCTCATACCACTGATTCGACGGCTGATCAAACATACCAGCGACACACACGACCGCACAATGCCGAAATGCTCGGGTGTGGTGGTCTGATCCCTCCCGCTTTCCCTCCCTCACTAACCGCATGGAGAACGTGTGCGCGGTATTTGCCGTCGTGCGGTTTGCCCTCGTGGCACACGTTGGCGATCAGGTCGTACCGGGTCACCGGGTTCTCCTCCTGCGCCTCGGGGTGCACGTCTACCACACACACACACACACAGAGAGACAGAGAGAGAGAGAGATGCACCCGACCCCACCACCATGTGTGTCTCCACACGTACATTCTCTGAGGTCGAGGTTCTTGACGGGGAACGTGACGATGGTGGGGTTCTTCTCGAGGAAGAAATTGTTCTTGGAGAAGCGCTTGATGTGGAAGACCAGGTAGGGCGGCAGGCGCCAGAGAGAGTACCGCTTCACCTGCCCGCGCATCGTCTCGTGCCGCGTCTCGCCGTCGAACTTCTGCAGCAGGTCGAAGATCGGAACCTGATAACAGAACAGAGAAAGATAGAGCACCAAGAAAACGAGACACATGCTGTGTGTGGCATGTGGGTGGTGTGGATGGGTGAGTGCGGGGGCGTACGGTTGGGATCATGTTGCGGTCGAGGGAGTCCTTGAAGATGGGCGAGGGGGGCACCTCCAGGGTCAAGTAACTGAGGCAAGGAGGGAGGGAGGGACGGAGGGGACGGATGTGTCCGTGGCGGTCGAGCCATCGGTGAGTGGTGTTTGTAGTGTGTGCATGGTTACAGGAACGGGGTCTTGGACTCCTCTGGAGGCTTCACCGACTCATCGGCTGCACACACACACACACAAAGTGCACGTTCCCCTCCCTGCCTCCCTGTACACCCTCTTCCTCACCGTTGACATCTGACGTCTTGACGAACACATCCCCCTGGAAACACTGATGCACCACCGAACCTGCACGCCAAACAAACCAGTGCTCAATCGGCCCGCCAGCCGTGTGTGTGTGTGTGCGTACTTCCGGTTTGTTTGTCTTTGAGTTTGGCGTGTAGCCTGTTCATGAGCCACACAAAGAAGGTCAGGGGGTCCTCCTGCTGCCCGATGCGGAACTTCTTCTCACTCGCCACACCCACTGCCTGCATACACACACCATGCCACACCATACCACACCACACCAGACGGACACACGTGCATCTGTGTGTCGCTCTGCCCGTCGCTCCCTCCCTCCCTCCCTCTCCCTCTCTCTGCGTGTCTGTCTCACCTGCATGAACTCGTGTGGCGACACGATGCCCTTGAAGTTGCGCGGGTTGAAGATCTTGCGCAGCAGCTCGCTGCAATTCAGCAACACCGGGTCGGGCCTCTGCACAAACAAACCAGTAAGACCGTAGACTGCAGCGGGAGGCGCTCGCTTGTGTGTGACTCACTTATTGCACACCTGTTTGTGCGAGAGGTCCAGCAGCAGCAGTGCGTTTCGCAGGGGGATCACTTGACACAGAAACTGCACAACGACATTGCAGTAGTCCGTCCGCTTCAGGTCGTTCAAACCGATGCAGCCTGACACAACACAACACACCCAGTGTGTGTATGAGCGAGCCAGCCTTTCGTGTGGAAGGCTCTCCCGCCCATGCCGTCCCACCAGGGATGAAGTCGGTGCCGTCGAGTGCCTTGCCGTAGACGAACCGCTTGCTGCTGAGGTCCTTGACCTCATCGGGCGTGTACGTTGGCTTCAAGTTGTACTGAACACACACACAGCCACAGATAGGCAGGCAGCAGGTGGGAAGGGTGCGCCTGTCGTAGCTGTGTGTGTGGGTAGTGCGGCAACCTTGATGTCGTTGAGGGAGGCGTCCTCGACCAGGTAGTTCTCGGGCAGACAATACACCTGCAGCAATGCACCGCACCCATCAATGCAGCGGTGTGTGCGTGTGTGGCCAGGCAGGGCAGCCCACTCCAGCCCACGTTGCAGTCGCTGAGGTTGATGTACACGTAGTGCCCCTCCTCCAACGCATGGGTGTACGAATGGGTGTTCTTGCCACGACCTGATTGACACACCCATCCATCCATCCATTCACCCACCCAGGCACACACACCTTATCGTCTATCTCTCCCTCCCTCCCTCCCCCCTGTCTGCCCGGCTCACCCTGGAAGTATTTGCCGCACACGAGGCAGCAGTAGACGTGAAGGTTGGACAGGGTGATAGAGCATAGCTTCTCGAAGTCAAAGTCCAGCAGGTGCCGATTCACCGTCCCGAGGTAGGGGCACGTCCGCCGCTGAGGGCGGACTCTCGGCGCCCTCTTCCCGCCCCCTCTCTGCTCCTTCTTGACGATATCCTTCTTGTCCTCCTCCGCCTCCACCTTGACTGACGCAGTCGACTGCGCATTGTTGGAGCCCGTCACGGTGACGTCGGCCTCGTCATCGGTCTCGCGCTTGATGGGGGGAGAATAATCGTGCGACCTTTGGGGTGCACGCACCTTGATGCGCTTCGCCGGCGGCGCGTCGGATGCACCAGCCGCCGCTGCTGCTGATGCGCTGGCGCTCTCGGACATGCTGGCTTGATGTTTCTTCCGCTGCGTGCCGTGGCATCCAGCTCGCCGAAAAGCTCGCAAATAGATCTGCCCATTGATGGCTCAAGGGAGGCTCAGATGGAGGCCATGAGGCGTGCTGCAGCTCCAAGATCCGCTTCCATCATCCCCTGCGTCGTCTCGCGTTCCTTCAGCAGTCAGGGCGGTCCGCCCCGCTACCGGCTGAATGTGTTCAAAAAGCTGGACCAGGAGTACCTCGCATGGAGCCTCAAGAAGATGTCAGACACTGTCGAGCAGGCTGAGCGCGTCAATGACTCCATCAAGGGATTGGCGGACAAGGCGCATCGATGGGAGATGCCGCAGCAACAGCAGCAAGATCCGGCCGAAAGCGACCCCGACAGCCGCGTCCAGAAGGGGCCCAAGTACCGCGACCAGTTGAGGGACAATGTCGGGGCTGCCGGGGAGACCTTCGTGCCGCCGCTCTATGTGCCGCACCGGACAAGGGGTCACGAGTACCGGCAGTTTGCAAAGAACATCTACACCGACACCCCTCCGCCCGCACAGCGAGAGTGGCTCAAGGCAGAGAGCGGCGAGGGAGATGGAGAGGGGTATGAGGGCAGCTCGTCTCGGCGGGAGGAGTTCTCTGATCTGAACTTCGCTGGCGAGGAGGAGGAGGATGTGTTTGCGCGTTATGAGAGTCTGAAGGATGAGCCGCTGTACCAGGACCTGACGCACGAGGAGGCGCGCAAGATGCAGGAGCTGCAGATGCGCCGCAAGCTGCTGGACCGCCGGATGAGGTGGCTCAAGATGAATATGCTCCCAAACCCACAAAAAGACGGTAGGTATGACGGAGGGAGGGAGGGAAGATGCGTTCGTGCAGGGAGCGGCTCTGTGTTGTCCCCACTTGTACATTCTTCCAGCCAAGATGTATCTGCGTCAAGTGGACAGCGAGGCTGCTACGAATGATGACGATGAGGAGGAGCGGCTGTACCCGCCGCCATTCATGGACGAGCGACCAGACTCACCACGCATCACGCGCATGGTGGTAAGCTGCGGTGGCCACGCGCACCGCACCAGCCACCGTCCCCGCCTCGCGACGCGTGGCCGATGGATGTCTGTCTCGTGTGGGTGGGTGTTGGTCAGAACGAGACTCGTCATTTGGAGGTGGAGAGTCGTCTTCGTGCCCGCATCCGTGAGGAGAAGTGGGAGGTGGCCCGCATCCTCAAAGAGCCCGCACCCACAGTCGGGGGCGTGGTGCTCGACCACCAAGAGTACCACGTACAACGACGCACGGTGAGCGAGGCAGACTTACTGGAGGGAAGAAACAGGCACTTACCTGGTTGGGATGATTGATTTGCTCTCTGTGTGTGCGGTGCGGGTGTGTCCATCCATCCATGTGCTGTGTAGGTTCGTATTGGTCGCCTGATTCAGTCTGCTCTCGAGCAAGTCATCACATGTACGTACGCGAGACGGGGGGTGGCCAATATGTTTCCAAGTCACCGCTCTCTGTCTGTGTGTGTGATGGTGGGTTGGCAGGCACGACCCCCCAAATACTGCATGAGATGCTCGGAGGTGGGCCGGCAGACGCACTCACACACTCACACATACATACATCCGCGCAGACACATATGGACATTCGGTGTGTGTGTTGTATGCGCGTGTGTGTGGTGTGTGTCAGGCGCGTCCATCACCGTCAACCACATCGAGCAGAGGACCTATCGGTCAAGATGCTACGTACGTCATCACAGCCACCACACAGACAGACATCCATGCACTCACTTGCTGTCTGCCTGCCGGTCTGTCTGTGTGGTCAGGTGTACTACTCGTTGGTGTCTGACCATGACCCTGAGGAGGTGCAGCAGAAGCTGGACACTGCCGCTCCCAAAATACGGTGCATGAATACATGATACACAATACACCGATCCCTCCACCCAGACAGACACGAAAGCATTGTGACATTCTGCAGGTATGAGCTGGCGCGAAGGCTCGAGCTGGGTAAGCCAGGCACACAAAAGGGAATAGAGGGCGTGTCTCGAACGGTCCGTCGTGGGTCTGTCTGTCTGTCTGTCTGTTTGTCCGTGCTGTCTGTGTTGGCGCAGTGCGCACTCCTGAGATTGCCTTTCGACGGAACGACGACGGCTCGCAGTTCGACAAACACCGCCTGATGAGCCTACACATGTACGTACGCCATGGCCAACGGCTCTCCTCTGTCGGCATCATCGATTCTTGTGCTAATGGCTGTCTGTGTCTGTGGGTGTCTGTCAGGTCGAGTGATGAGCGTCGCGCGAGGGCCCGCCGAGTGCAGTCGACATTTGCGAGCGTCATGAACCACGTCAAGTAGCGTACGTAGCCTACCTTCGTCCCACTGATTTGGTGTACCTGTCGGTCGTTACACGCGTGTATGCGTGTTGACGATGCTGTGCAAATGGGTGCGTGTATGTGACTCTCAGCCGGTTAACAATGGTCTTCACTGACGCAGCTAAGCATCAGCTGTCACGCCATACATCACCACGGTCTTTGTTTCCTACACACACGCAGTCGTAGAGGCCCACTTCCGGGCCGGTGTCTCAACCACTCTCTGCATGCTCCGGCCGGCATCGATCAGGCGGTGTGAGAGGGTCCCCGATGAGCCAGACTGGCGATTGAATTATGCAAGTCGAGGTTCAGATCGTGATGAGACAGGAGTCCTTACGAGACACAGATACATATCTGCATGTCCCCCCTTGGGCTAATATGACCTAGGATTACGGGACCTACCTACTGTATATAGTACGATTCTCTGCTATATGCAACAGGGACCTGTTTTGAGTCTGCCGGACAATTCACATCTATGTGTGTATGTCTCTTTTTTGTACCCACCGATGTGAGGGCGTTTTTTGACATCCATGGCCAATTGCATGAATCGTGCACGAAGGAAGGAAGGAAGAGACACGGATATGTGGGGAACTTTGGAACTTTTTGATGCCGCTGTCGCGAGGCAGAAGATCGATCATCGCTAATAAAGGTGGCTGAAAGGCACACGAGTGAGTGTCCGTCTGCATGACGAGAGGGACACAGATGACGAAACAAAGTAGGCAACGATTCAGTTTGAGAGAGAATCTCGCGCAGGCTCTTTCTGCATACCCCTTCGGGGGGCCGGGGTGGCAAGGTCCCCGTGAGGTGAATGAACGAACAGTCAGCGTCAGCAGACACAGACCCCCATCGCCACACACTGACTGAGCTGGAATAAGCGCCGTACGCTAGCAATGACGCACTAGAGGAATGACCAAAAGTAACGAGCTTGCGGCGAGATTTGCGGGAATTCTCGCCGTCTCGAGACGGTTTTCTCGAGAAAAAGACAGAGCAAACAGTTTCCGAGCCGGCTGTCCTTATCTCTCACTGTTCGCCTCACATCTCCTTCGTTTCTCCTCATTTTTCGGCGGGAATCGTCGGGCACCACCCGCCCGAGGCCCACGCAGCCCCCTCCGCTCGCCGTTTTCGAAGAGGACGAGTCCACCTGACCCGCCCTGACCCGCCCGCCCGTCAGACGCTGACATCATCCTGAGCCTCCCTCCTCCCTTGGTGAGTGGTCGTTGGCTTGTGTGGTCCGCCCCGTCCCCTCCCGCCCATCCCGACGTGTCCGAAGTCCGTCTGTCACTTCCTTCCTTTACGCCGTGCCGCGAGGGAGGTCAGCCGGTGGCGAGGCAGGACATCAATCACATTTTCAAGACACGCCGCGATTACTTGTAAATTCTCTTCTGAAAATGGGGGCCGCATGCAGACGGGACGCCCAGCAGCTCGCAAGAACTCGGCCTGCAGCCTCGTCGGCAGCCCAGTTTGCAGCAGAAGAAGGAGAGAAGCACCGCCGAGCACTGTCTCGCACCGACCACCAAGAAGACAGCCGCCGAGCTGTCAAGCGTGAGGCCATGGCCGGCCCTCCCGACGCCGCCTGGGCGATGGTGACTGGCGACGCGTGGGCCCAATCGCACTTCAACTTCAAGGAGTTGAAGGGAGCCGGTGGGCAGAGACAAGCCGCCACCATTGCAGTGATGCAGTATGTCTCCGTCTCGCTGTCTTCAGGGGCGAGTGGGGTTGTCGTTTCGTGTGAGCAGAGGCCTAGCAGCAACCTGCCGGACGTGCCGGCAAACGGCCCTCTGGCTCTCAAGATGGTGAGCCTATACGGCCAGAGAGCCACTGGCAGAGGGCTAGAGGGTGTCACTGTTTTGGTTGATTGACATACTCATGTGTGTGATGCATTCATTGCAGCCCAAGCTGCCGCCCAACCCAACACCGGACGATATCGATGACGTGGAATATAGCACCCAGGAAGAGGTAATGGATTCATTATCGCTCACCCCCGCCCGCCCGGCAACGCATTGTCGTTTGTGGTGCGTTGACTGCAGGTCAAGATGGGCAAAGAGGTGGCCGGCAACGACAACATATGCACGACCTACGCCATGTTCACCACCTTGACCGGCCCCCAACACCAAAAGCGATTCTGGATCGTCCAGAAGGGGTGTGAGACGACTCTGGGGGTGTGGATCGACGCGGAGAGGGCAAAAGACATCGCAGCGGGCATGTACGGTACGTTACCTTCTCAGTCAAGCAATCAATCAGACACTCAATCACACAAAGGTATGCCTGTCTCTGTCTGTGTGTGTCTGTGTGTGTGTGTGCGTGTGTGTGCGTGTGTGTGCGTGTGTGTGTGTCCATTGGATGCGACCAGGGATTGGCGTTGACAAGGTGTTGTTGAAGTTCTATCCGTTGCTCAAGGGGGTTGCTCACATGCACTTTAAGAAAGGTGCGAAGAGCCGGACATTCAACAGATACACAGGCGTGCAGACACCGAGTACGGCGTTTGTTTCCTGCCTGCAGTAGCCCACCTCGACCTCAAAGCCGAGAACGTATTCCTCACCAACACCGAGACGGTCAAGATAGGAGACTTTGGTACGGAGGCATAGACTCTTTCCCTTGTGTGCCTGTCTGTGGATGTTTATCGGTCTGGCTGTCTGTCTGGCTGTCTGTCTGGCTGTCTGTCTGTCTGGCTGTCCAGGATTGTCGGAGAAGTTTGACGCCTCCATCAGCCACCACACTCCGCAGATGGTCGGCGGCACAAGCCAGCCCGCAAAAAAAAGAGACATCCATCTATTGGTTGGTGCATTGATGGCTTGGTGGTGCAGTGTACGCTGCCTTACCGGGCCCCAGAGATGCTGGGAGGCAAGACCGACTACACACTCGAAGTGGACATGTGGTACACATTTGTGGACTGACACACATCATGGATCTGTCTGTCCATCTGACGCCTGTGTCTGTGTGTGTTTGTGTGGTGTCTGCAGGTCGCTGGGGGTAATGTTGTATGCCGCCCTCAAGGGCGTGGCTCCCTTCAAATTCACCCTGGACGACGATTATGGCCGGGTACGCCGAGCCCACATCATGAGATTGCGTATTGTGTCTGTGTGTGTGATGTCTTTGACTCATTGTGCAGTTTGATTTGCTCAATGAGATCCTAAGGCACCGACGGGCGCCGCCGGCTTATCTGTAAATACTCGAGAGCCTGCCTCTCGTGCAAACCCTCGTCGCGCAGGGCGAGGTAATACACACATACTCGGAAAGCGTGTGCGTGTGTGTGGGGTGGTTCTGATTGTTTGTGCCCTCCCTCCCTCCCTCCTTACTTTGATCATCAGGCGCTCAACACGCTCCGAGCTCGTCATATGACCGAAGACGAAGAGCTGGAGGAGCTGCACAACATGCTCGGGCGGCCCGACATTCCGAAGACCCACCCTGTCGTGGCTCTACTGAATAGGTACGTGAAGACGGAGACATAATAAGGCAGTCAATCCAAGTGTGTGTACGTCTCCCCCTCTTTGGTGCTTAGAGGCGTGGATGCTCACCTGGCTTGCGTCTGTGCGCCCGTGTGTGTGTGTGTATCGTGCAGGCTGCTGCAGGTCAACCCAGCCGAGCGACTCAAGGCAGATCAGGCCTTGTTGGACGACGCCTTCATCGCGGCCCGTGCGCACGAGGCGGGTTAGTCAATCAGCTTATGGGCAACACTGAGCCACTCCCCACCGTAAGTGTAAGTGTGTCTCTGTCTTTCTGTGGCTGCTGGTGCTTTCCACAGCTCAAGCTGCTGCTGCCGCCGCTGCTGCCGCCCTCGCACTACAGTTGCCAGTGCAGCAGCCCCCTGCAGCCGCACCACAGCACCAGCCGCCTGCGGTCAAGAAGAGGCGCGTCATTCCGAAGAGCTTTGCCAAGAAGGCCGCGCACAAGAAGGCAGGGAGGGTGGTCAAGAAGGACATAGTCAAGAAGCCGAAGCCACCAGCCAAGGCCAAGTCAAAGTCCTGCCAGGCCAGCAAGAACAAGGCCAACAAACGTATCGCACAGAAGCCGGGTGAGTGGAGGGGAAGGTGGTGCCACAAGTGCAAAGCTGGCAATGGATCATTCTGCTGCTGTGATGTGTGTCTGTCGTCTTCCCACATTCAGTCAGCAGGCGTGTTCGCGAGGCGCCGTCTGCCCCGCAAGTACGCAACATACCGCAATTCACACCTCACCGTGAGTTCATGTCTCTCCCTCTCTCTCTCTATCTCTGTCTCTGTTTAGGGCGCTGCTGTTTGCGACACCAAGGCCAAGGCCAAGGTGCAGGCCATGAGGGCCAAGGTGCAGGCCAAGAGCGGTGTGGCGAAGAAGCGCATCGCTAACAAACCTACTGGTACACGCCGACGACACTGAGTGACGGGTGCGCTCATATGCCTTTCGATCCTTCTGTGTGTGCCGTGTCTGTAGGGGTGGGTGGCAAACCCAAGGCCAAGGCCAAGACTCGTAGATCCAATCGCAAAGGTGAGTGACCAAATACACACACACACCTCACCTGAATCCATTCACCGTGCCTCCCGTGTGCCCTCCTCAGCGAAGAGCGGCAAGGACGTCAAGAAACCCATCCACAAGAAGCCGCCCGCCCCGCCAAAGGGCCGCAAGGCCGCCAGGAAAGCCAACAGTGCCGCAGCGGCAGGCACTTCCACGCCACGCGACGCCACGAAGAAGCCACCCAAGAAGCATCAGCCCAAGAAGCCCACCAAGCCGGCCGCACCCGCACCCGCCGCCGCACCGCCCCAGCAGCAACAGAATCGTAAGAAGCGCAAGGCGGGAGGCCAGCAGCCGGAGGGGGACAATCGAGGCGGCAAGGTGGCGAGGCAGGGCGTGATGACGCGGGCCATGTGCCGGAGCCAGGCCGCCTCGTCCACCCAGCACTGAGAGAGGAGGAGGGGGGGTGGGAGGAAGGGAGCGTGTGCATGTTTCTTAGAAGGGGCTGTTTGAAGAGAAGTTTTTGAATCGTATCAGCAGTGGGTCGATCCATTCATATTAATGATGCATTCCGCTGTGCGCCTGCGTCGAGTCACCGACCCGTCGAGTGTGTGGGATGGATGGATGGATGTGTGTGTGTGTGTGTGTGTGGGATGGCCGTCTGTATGTCTGTCTGTCTCTCTCTCCGTCTGAATATATGTGCTGCATTGCCCCCAGGGGTGGAGAGGGCTCTCGAAGCCACACACCCGCATCGCGTTAGTCCCTCTCTCTCTCTCTCTCTGTCAAATGAGTGGTATTGGCAACGGTTTCTTTCATCGGGGAGATTGCGACTACGAGTGAGTGGGTGGCCTGTTTCTCGCTGCATTCATTGCATACATGGCCGGCTGGCTGGCTCTTTCTGGCAAGGTGGAGGACGCACCGAGGCACCCGGGTCGGCTGTCCGTCTGTCTGTCTGTTTGTCTGTTTCTTGGGGCTGGCTGTGTGTCTGTGTGGTCTCGTCAGTTTGTCTCTCTCATCGTTTCGTATGAGTGCCAGTCTGCCTGCCATCTGAGAGCGATTTCTGCACGAGAATCTGTCTGTCTGTCTGTCAATCCGTGGCCACTCTCTCTCTCTCTCTGGTTGGCTGCTTTTGCTCTTGTCGTTGGTGGGAAGGTCGGCAACAGGCCATATTCCTGTCTGTCTGCGCAGCCAGGAAAATGGCCGTGGTGTAAGTGAGTGAGAGAGCCGGTAGAGAGCCGTTTCATTACACATTCGGAAAGACACACACATAAACGGATAGTGGGGGGCGTACTTCTAGCTCTTTCGGCGGGAGGATGTCCCGCTCTCATGCTCACGGAGGTGGAGGATGACTCGGCCGGCCTTCCCTGTCTCTCTCTCTCTGTCTGTCTGTCTGTCTGTTTGTCGTTGCGCCCTATCTTTTTGCCTGGATGGATGGATGGATTGGTCTCTCCCCTTTTGTTTTCACCGCTGAGTCCGTGTGTGTGTGCGCTTGTGTGCGTCGGTCGACCGATCAGCCACCCACCCGCCCAGCTGATGGGAGATTCAGGGTGGAAGGGCAGCCAGCCAGCCATGGATGTATGGATGGAAAGGTGCAGCGTGAGACGGGTGCGTCCCCCCATACCAACCCCCGTGCACCAACAGACAGATAGATGCGACAACGAACAGGGAGAGACAGATGGGAGAGACGGACTGATGTGTGTGATGGATGAAGATACCCATTTACGATGGATACGAACAAGGCAGGGTCCGCCAATGGATCAACCAATGAATTACCTGTACACGCCTTCATTCGCCCAGCCAGCCAGCCAGCCAGCCAGCCAATCAGCACACACCAACGTGCGTGTGCGCAAGCCCCAAGTCCAGTGACTGTCATGCTGTCGCCTCAAGGCCCTGCCCCTCCACATACACACCGTCCCTCCAGTCTGCCAGGGCAGCATTGGCCTTGAGGATGCCCTTGTCGCGCCACATACGGTGAGAAGTGCACCAGGAAGGATTATACAGGTCCTGGAGAGAGAAAGCACTCGTCAGGAGATGCCGATTTACTGTAACCAGCGCCTTGCCTTGTACCGTTGCTCTCTTCAGCACATTGTCAAGTTCACACAGGTCCTGACAGACAGACGACACACAGCACCATGGATGGATGGATGGATGGCCGCCCAATGGGTTGCCTGATCTGATCTGGACTCACCTCGTCGGAGAACATCGCCACACGGCCATTCACCTCATGCGGAATCAACTCAAGCATATCCCGCACCTGTAATCAGCCCACACACACAGCCATCCACCCATCCATCCATCCATTCACTGCCTGACCCACCAGCCGCCTTTCCTTTCTCCTTTGTAACGTGCGCATCTCACCGTCTGCATGCCTGTGGCGATCTGTCGGCTGTCTGTCTTGGCGTCAGTGCCGGGTGTGCCTTCCCATGTGGTGTAGACATCTGTGAGGATGCGGGTGAGGGTCAGCAGGGCGGCAGGCTGCAGTGCGTGCAGCCGCTTCAGCAAGTGGCACAGAATGCCTAGAAGGAGAAATAAGTGATCGATCCACAGATGTCATTCGCCTGTGTGTGCACGTGGATCTGACCTTCCATTTTGTCGGGGTCCCACCACTTGAGGTCACCCAGCACTTGCAGGGCCCTCACCCACTCCCCCACTGACAAGGAACTCGGCCGCCTGTCAGCACAACACACAAACACAGCACAGATAAGGTAGACACCCGAGAGAAAAGCAGTGCGGGTGTGCGTTGCGTCATGCGACTTCTTCTCACTCACTTGGCCAGTTCAGCCACGATGTCTTCGAGCGTGTCGCACGCCTCAGGAAGGGGTCCCAGTGTCAGCCGCCCTCTGCCCCACCTGTCGGCGTCCCATCCTGACACACGGAAACGACTTGCCACGCTTCAAGCGATAGGAAGAGGAGCTTGTGTGTACTTCCTGACCTCGAATGATCGCCCGTTCCTCGGCGGACAGGCAGGACGACACAAAAGGATTCGACTCGGCCGCATTGGACTCGTCGTTAGTGGCCACCGGCAGATCTGCAGATCCAACGCCGATGGACCGTGTCCCTTCGCCAGCTGGAGGCAGAGCAGGATACCGCTGGAAGTGCTCGTGGTAGCGCATGATGCCCACCAGTACACTGCATACGCACAAAAGAAGCGCAAAAACACTCGATCAGACAAAGATAGTATTCGTATCACTCCTCCTCTCCATACGTGGTCAGCTGCGCTGGCTCCAGCTCTGCTCGATGCCTCCGTGCATCCCGAAGAGCACGGCTGACGAAGCGAAGCGCCGCTGGGGAAGAATAAGCGGGGAGGGAGGGGTGGATGTGGGGGTGGGGGTCCGCCGCTGCTGAGGGCGGGGCGAGCCGCATGTTGTTGTGCCCGAGGAAGAGAGCCACGCTCGCGAACAGCTTTGAGAAGTACTCGGATGGGCATAAATGGAGCTGACGGATATGGAACAAATGAAACAATGACACTAAGCAACGGGCAGAGAAGGCGTGCCATTGGTATGCCACCTGTCTCTCTGTGACGGTGATTATCTGCTCGAAGAGCGTTGGCGACAGCAGCGGCACCTCGATATCCCCTTGCCACTCAAGATCTCCGCCGCCCTCCTGAACGGCCTGCTGCCGCATCTCCTCGAGCGTCAGGTACGCCGGCAGAAGGGTCGCCACGTCGGCTGGAGTGAAGTAACACAGCTGACACACGAACCAACAGCGAAGGACGGATCCGCAGGGAATACATGCATCACATATAGATACATCCATCAGTCCTCACACATACCTGTCTTTCCACTTCGCTGGTGAGCTTCCGGAGCAGCGGCAGATGGAAGAACCGATGCCTGATGTCCACACACATGAAGGAACGATTCAGTCAGTCAAGACGCGCACAATGAGTCGGTCGTTATCCGCTCACTTTGCCAGGGCCTTGGCCAGCAGAGCCGAGTCGTTAGCTGTGAAGTCCTGCCACAGCTGTGCGCCCACCGGCCCATCCTCACCCTCCTCGCCCTCCTCCGACGACACCAATGCAGCTCCATCCCGGGCATCCGCCTCTCCCTCAGCGGATCGGGTCTCCGCCAGTGGCCGCCTGATGCCGCCCCAGACGCTCAGCTCGCGCTCCTCCGACCCGCCAGACAACAGACGCTCGGCCACCTGCCCAGAGCAACACACAGATCCCCCCCGTTATCATGAGATCGGCCATCCATCCATCCATCCATCCATCCATTTTATGTGCATACCTCGTTGAGCATGCGTGTGTCGCGGACTCCCACGCAATGGAAGCCGAACAGAAGACGGCACAGCTGAGCCGGGCTGCGACAGACCAAGATCAACACAACCAACACAGTCATGGCTTCCTTGTCCCCACTGCCTTCAGCCGTTGCTCACCTGAATTGCGGCAGAAGTGCAGTCGCCCGAGCAGCGTATCTCTCCCACAGCTTGGGATCACTGGCGTGGGGCGTCCGGGCGGCCTTTTCGATGGATGCGAGCAGCCCTTGAGTACCGTTCTTGGCGGTTGCGTAGAGGGCGTCCCGACGATGCTGCAGAAGACGGAGAGGCGCCTGAGGAGCCATGCCTCAAGGGCCAGAGATCTGCTGTGTTGAGCTCGCAAGTGGGCGATCCGTCGAGAAGGGCCGTAGAAACATCCAGCCGTCGAAGCATCGTCATGGCAGCGGCAGCGGCTGCAGGGAGTGCGGCTGAGAAACGGAAGCGACCAAGTCCTGGTGGTGGGGCTGAGGATGAGTGCGGCAATCTGGATGAGAGCATCGCACACTGCCAGCAGCTCTTGGACGCGCTGCAGGAGATCAAGAATGACCTCATGCAGCAAGAGCGGGCCATTGGCGGGACGGCAGATACCAGCGAGCCATCTGTAAGCAGGCAGAAATGGAGGAAAAGGCACGGCTTAAGTCACATGCACTGTTCGCGTGCCTTCCTCTTTGTGCTGTCGTCATCAGGCCGAGTGCATGCGTGAGATCTTGGCCTTCAACGTGGGCGGCGACACGACCGTCAAGGCTCGGCGGTCCACTCTGTGCGCCGTCAAGGGCACCGTGATGGCACTCCTGTTCTCGGGCCGCTTCGACGCGGGATTCAGACGGGACAGCAACAACCGCATCTTCCTCCAGCTGTTTCCGGATGCTTTTACGTGGTGGGCAGACACAGCATGACTGGGGCAGGGCGTGGATCTCACACTGCCCCTCTGAGTGTGTGCGTGCGCTTTGTTTTTCAGGTTGGTAGGGCAGCTGCTCACATATGTCGGCGAGCAGACAATCGATAGCATCGTCATACCAGATTCCAGACGAAACGACACGCCGTTCAAGTAAGCCACACCGACAGGCAGACAGACAGACAGATATACAGACGGCCGCGCGAGTTGTTGTGGTTGACATGTTGTGATGTGGCTGGTGTCTGTCAGGTATTGGGTAGAGTTGTTGATGTCGGACCCCGGCTACAAGCGCCGTGCGAGCCGTGTGCAGATCCCCCCCCTCACACAAGACCAGCAGGAGGAGCAGCAGCAGGGAGCGGGCGGCGAGCAGCAGCAGCAGCAGCAGCAGAGAGATGCTGAGGACCTCTCTGTAGAGCTGACGAGTATGATCAGGAGGGCCAAGGCTGACAGGGATGCCCAGATGGAGCGCCTCCAGGCCATCAGGCCGCTGCTCAAGACTGGCAACGTAGAGGACGATGCGGTGAGGTGAACAGAGATGGGCAGAGGAAGGCCAACTCGATGACGCGCTCTGTGCGTCATTTCCATGTTGGCAGTTGGTGTCGATTGAGGTGTCTGGTGCCGTCGTGACGGTGACCAAGGGCGTTGCCACTTCGCTCGGTGACGACTCCACCTTCGCAAACATATTCCTCAAGTGAGCAGCTGCCGTCACCGCACGCACACACAGACATCTCCACTGGATGCGATGCTGTCTGCGCGTGTGTCAGGTATGACCGCAGTAGTCATGAGGTAGATCCAGCGTACGTGCGGCGCATCGTGGACGCGGTGGCACGTGCCCACATGATGGGTGTGGCCGTCAAGGCGCTCGATGTGCAGGGGGCGGTGGGGGAGCTGGCCATCAAGGGATACCGACACGCACTCACAATGTAAAAACGGTGTGCGCACACAAGGCTGCTCAGCACACAAGGCCAGGCCTTGACGCCTCTTCTGTGTCTGAATGTGTGTTAGGTACGGTTTGGATAGCGATCGCTATTTGGGCCCTGTCGACGGGCTCCTCAAGCTGGAGCACCTGCAGAAGATGCGGCAGTGGTGTGAGGACGAGGAGGAGGACCCTCCTGCCATTCCCTCCCACTTGGGCGAGCCGCTCATCCGCATATACAAGTGAGGAAGAAGACCGAAGCAACTGCCAGCATGACGGTCATCTCTCACTCTGCCTCTATGTGTCGTGTCAGGGCGACTGTGGATGGGTGGAAGTGGTTGGATTTCCTGGAGGCCGTCAAGGGCCACTCCCCTCTGCTGCTCATCTCCAAGGTCGACGCCACCACCGAGCTGTTCGCCATCATCATCGACGGGCCCATCGAGGTCGCGGGGGCGGCCGAGACCGAGCACGACACGAGAGCGCACGCCTTCAAGCTGCAGGGGACCGACAGCCACCCATACGTGGGCTACATGGGCTGGCGGAGCAACATGTACATCGCGGGCACACAGGTGGGTACTCATTCGAATGAGCGATTCAGGCAGGCGGTCATGGTGATGGTCTGCTCTCCATCCGTGTGTGCAGGAGAGAGTCACCCAGACCATCGATTTGTCTTCACCCGCCTCCGACGCGCCGGCCGTCCTTGTCACCGCATGTTTCGATTTCGGCATCCGACCGGCCGCCCAGCAGATCGGTGCCCCAGCAGCGGCCAGCGACGAGACCATGAAGCGCTGCCAGGGGTACATTCTGGAGCACGACCAGCCCGACGTGTGGCTCCAGTGGCAGCGGCCGAGTGTGAGGCCGGGCCACCACGGCTGGGACGATGATAGCGTGTACCAGTGGTGTTCAGTGAAGGGGTTTCACTTCAACCTGTCCGACTTGGAGGCATACAAACTGGGGTGAGGATGGGGGCCCTAGCCGTCCTGTTTGTACAGTGCAGTGCAGTGCAGTGCACAGACCGTGATACGCAATGGTTGCGTGAATGAGTCGATTCACACCCCAAAGAAGTCGAGTCACATGAATAAGTCTTCATCTTTCATTGCCGCCACATAAAAGCACCCCGCGTTTGACACGCGCCCCTGAGCTAGCTACGACGACCACTCTCAGCCATCTTATTGCGCCAGAGAGATACGCCCGTGGCAGCCAACTTCAGCGGCCCATTGCTCACGCCATCTCTGCTGGCGTGGCACAGCTCGGGCGGCAGCATCTCCAGCTCCTCGCACCGCAGGCCACCAACACCCTCACACAAATCCTTCACACCTTCGAGGCTCAACGCAAACGGCGGCCCGCCCTGACGCACGCAACGCACAGCACACAAATGGGGAGTGTGACTTGAATGGCATATCTCTCTCATGTGTCACCTACCTCCTTGTTGCAGATAGCGAAGATGGCGACCATCAGCAGCCCGCTGTCCTTAAGCAGCGAGTGCATGCGCTTCGCCCACGCATCCTGACACAGACACACAATAAGCATCGGGCAGCCGTCCAAGCAGGTGTGCATTTCTCACTCTCATGTCTGGGTGAATAGCGCAGAGGAACGTGTAGTCGAGTATGAAGTCCACCACCCCACCCATCCACGTCAGGTCAGAAGCCACCTCAGGTATATCGAGGCCAATCACCTCTAGTGGCGGGTCAGACAGCCCGCCCATGTCATGCCCACGACCTGAATGAATGAGTGAGTGAATGAGTGTGTGTAAGGCACCACACCAGCGTATGTGTCAGCTGCTTGTGTGCGAGAGTATGCTGACCGCATCCCGACACGAGTGCCTCTGCGTTAAAGACCACACCGTCGGCCACATACTTGACCAACACGTGTCGGGCGCCACAACGAGCCGCCCTCTGCAAGCAAGCCAAACAGACGGACGGACAGATCATCACGTCATGTAACAAAATGAATTTCATTGAGTGAATCAGTCCCCCACCTCCCATAATGTTCCATCGCGATGGCGTTGTCAGCGGCCTTGCCTTGGTCGCCGCCGCCTCTCAGTCGGGCCAGATCAGGCAGCAGGACGGCAGCATGCTGATGTGTCGCCCTGGTCCGTCTTCGGAACGATGGGCGGGGGACGGGCTCGTGTGGGCGGCTGGCCGATGGCGGGAGGCCGGGCGATGACTGTGGTGAGATGGAGATGGATGCGCCATTTGCGAGCAGGACGGACGCCGTGGCTGGCAGAGATAACAGCTTCATTTGACAGATGGCTGACGAGGATGAACCAGGCTGCGGATCTGCTTGACGAGAGGGCAATGAAACGCACAAGGGGGAAAGGAAGCAGATCTCTTTCCAGCTCGCACTCTGTGAGCGTGGCGAATTCGCTCTACACAGAAGCATGGGCGACCAACAACCGAGGGGCCTCTGAGTGAGTGTCGATGATTCGGTTCATCCTGCTGCAGAACCGGCAGGGAAAGACCCGCTTGTCCAAGTGGTATGTGCCTTTCGATGCTGCCGAGAAGAACAAGCTGGAGAGCGAAATACACCGGGCCGTCGTCACCCGGGACCGCAAGTGGACCAACTTCCTCGAGTACCGGTCCTACAAGCTCATCTACCGGCAGTACGCCGGGCTGTTCTTCACCTTCTGTGTGGACGTCAACGACAACGAGCTGGCCGTCCTCGAGCTGATCCACCTGTTCGTGGAGGTGCTCGACGGCTACTTCGGCAACGTGTGTGAGCTGGACCTGGTCTTCCACTTCGACAAGGTCTACCACGTGCTGGACGAGCTGCTGCTGGCGGGGGAGGTGTCGGAGACCTCACAGGCCGTCATACTCGAGAAGCTCAGGCTGGTCGACAAGCTGGACTGAATCATCACGACGGCAGATCAGATGACTGAATGAATGATGGCTGGGTGGGCGCAGGGCTGCTCTGCTTGCGTGTGGAAAAGACTGACTGATGCAGCAGATGGGCTGTTGTTTGGTGTGTTCCGTGTTTCGCTCATCAGCTGTCGACCAGCATTGGCCGAAGCGCTTGTGACGCCGAGTACGCTTCTCTCGGTCGAAAAGGCGTCTCGTACGTCGCAGAGTGGGTTGGCAAATTCAGGTCGATAGCAGCGAGGTGCGATTAATCGAGAGAGTGCGTGTCCCTGTCTGTGAAATGAAGACGGAAAAGGTGTGTGCTGGGAACCCTTGTGAATGATGGCTGAGCGTTGTTGCGACCGTCAGTAGATGGGCAGCATCGTGGAGGTACCAAATGCGTTCTTCATCTGTATGAATCAGTCGGACACTAAGTCAGTCACCAGCCGGCAGCACGTCCACACACTTCCCCCCACACACACACACACACACACGGGGAGAGAGAGAGAGAGAGAGGTCCATTCCATTCATGTCGGCCAGCAGCAAGGCTCAAAAACTCAGGCACATCGTTCGTTCGTCACATCGACAGAGTGCGACAGAGACACCACCGAGTGAGCTACGAGGGAAAAGGGCCGCCTGCCTGCCTACCGAGAGAGCTAACCACAACGACACACACACATCCACACACACACTGCCTACCTACCTACCCACCTGATTGACACTGGACGAGCGCATTCCGCGACGTCCGTCGTCAGCTTTCCTTGAGCAAAAAAAGAACCCTTCCCGACACCCACGACAAGAGAGAGACCACAGGAAACCACAAGGAGAGAAATCACGCACCCTCACACCGCCACACCGCACCCACATGTGCCCGATAACGTGAAAAACTCATGCCTGTGTGCCTGGCTGGCTGTTGGTGTCAGCAAATGGGTTGGTGGTGCCATGCAGTCACTCTACGGACGGACGTACGAAGGCAATCAGCGAGTGTGTGTGAGTCTAGTAGAGGTTGTCGGCCTTCTCGAGCTTGACGATCTTCTCGGCAATGCCCTTCTGCAGCGTCGAGCGGATCTCGTCGTTGATGAACGAGAACGTCTGCATCACACACGTACACACAGACAGCACATCAAGTCCACTGCACCGATGCCACCATTCTCCCCCCCTCTCTGCGCCTGTGTGTCTGTGTCGCTTTCTAACTGACCTGTGCGGCAAACTTGGCGACATTGTCTGGTCTGAGGCAGTAGGCGTTGGAGGATCCCGGGGGGTTCTTAAGGCAGCTCTCGTTCCAGCCGTCGGGGGGGCAGGACACCACTGGGAAGACAGAGTGGTAGGAGGCCGTCCCGGAGAGCGCGTCGGTGCCGCCCGCACAGCCCACAATCAGCATCGGCTCGATGGAGCGGTTGTAGTACTCCAGGGCCTGCTCCAACTTGCTCGGCTGCACACACACACACACACACGGAACAGAGAGAGAGGGAAAGGTGCCATCGATGGATGTGTGTGTGTGTTGTGTTGCGTAGTGTGTTGAGTACACACCTGTTTGTGTGCGGAGCAGATGCGAATGTGCGAGGGGACGCCGAACTTGGTGAGGTTGTCCTGGATCTTCTGCAGGTGCGGCATGTCCGAGTCGCTGCCCGCAAAGATGCCCACACAGCAACTGAATCACCACACACACACACACACACACACACACACAGAGGTGAGGACAGTACGTGTGGTGTGGTGTGGTGTGGTGTGGTGTGTTGGCCACAAACGTCGCACCCCTTGATGAGTTTCTTTGAGACCAGGTTCATGAGCAGTCTCTTGGGCGGCGTGAGGGGGGAGGCCGGGAACTCAAAGGTCTGCCCGGTGATTCTCTCGAACACATTGATGTACCGATACACACACTCAACCACCTGACACACACACACACACATCCATCCATCCAGCCATCCCTTGCTTTGCTGTGCTGTGTTTGTGTTTGTGTGGGTCTGTCTGACCTGTTCCTCTGTGAGTGTGGGGACCGCCTTGCCGGGTTTGAAGCCCTGCTCGAGCAGCACGTCCCTCACGTACTGCTTGGAGAACTCCTTCACCTTGAGCTCCGGCCTGGCGGCCAGCAGCTCGCTGACATCCTTGTACTGCCCGCCCTTCATGGCCTCGACGATCTGCGGCCACTTGGTCTCGAGCTCCTTGGCGTCGCACAGGCGGCTGCTGTCGGGCGTGTTGACCTCGTCAATGACGTGCAGCTTGCCGCTCTCGTCGGTGCCGAACTCGTACTTGGTGTCGATGAGCACGAGGCCGCGCTTGGCGGCCAGCTCCTGGCCTCTGGCGAAGAGCTTGAGGGAGATGTCCTTGGCCTGCTGCGCCAGGTCCTTGCCGATGAGGGCCTCCACCTCTTGGTAGGTCATGTTCTCGTCGTGGCCGACCTCTGCCTTGGTGGTGGGGGTGAAGATGGGCGTGGGGAACTGCTGGAAGCGCAGAAGGCCGTTCTGGACGGGGAGGCCGCAGAAGGTGCGCTCGCCCTTCTCGTATGCGGCGGCCATGCTGCCCCAGAGGTAGCCGCGGACGATGCACTCGACGTTGAGGTTCTTCATCTTCTTCTGGATGACCACATTGGGGTCGGCGTCGTCGGTCACCAGGGCGTTGGGGATGATGTCAGACGTGTTCTCGAACGCCCAGCGAGTGATCTTGTTCAACAACTGACCCTGCAAGCAAGCAATCAATCACACACACACACACACACACACAGACGCACACACACAGACGCACACACATGGATGGATGGATGGATGAGTGCGCCATCCCTCCCTCCCTCGCCGCCTCTCAACGCTGTGCTGTCCTGCGTACCTTGAAAGGGATGAGGTTTGGCAGGACGTAGTCGAACGCCGAGACCCTGTCGCTGGCGACCATGAAGACGTTCTTGTCGGTCATGTAGATATCCCGCACCTTGCCCTTCTTGACACGACCCAGCTCGGGCAGCAGGCAGTCGTCCAGCGTGTAGCCCAGGTGCTGGCGGATCTTGCTCTTCGTGTCAGACTCAGTCATGACGTGGCCCATTGCTTTGCTTGACGGACGATGGAACGACGGGAGAGAGGCGACTGGCGGATTAGCTGCTGCGACAAAGGCGAGAACTCACGAGCGCTGAGTGGCGATGGATGAGCAGGTGGCTGAGCTGGAATGGAGGAAAAGGGAGGGCAGTTTTCGGGGAGACGGCGTCGCATGCGATCCAAGCTCGCATTTTGAGCTCGCAGACGGTGGCGACAGCAGAAGAGGCCAGGAGACAACGGCAGAGTGCTGCGTGGGCCAGGCTCAGCAGCAAGCTTTGACGAACTCATAGATCAGCCTGTTTGTGCGCCGTTCGAGGCGGCCAATTCATTGCTCTCGGTGTTGTGAAGGCGTTGGTTGCGTCGGTTCGGTTCGTCCGGTGATGGGCATAGAGTTCATGGGATCTGACGATGCGCCTTCGATGAGCGGATCTCCCGCCATCCTGCACTACTACCGCACACCCGGGCTGTCCGAGTACAAGCGGCAGGGCCTCCTGCAGGAGGTCAGAACAGACATCGCAAGCGATGTGGTGAGCCGCTGAGCCACTCACAGACAGCAGATGGGTCGTGCATTGCCCACACCACCACCTGCCCCTGCTTTTGTGTGTGTCTGCATCACTCCGTAGGAGTCGCTGGACACCGAGGTGTGTTACAACGTGGAGGTGACTGCCCCCCTGACGGCCAAGGAGGAGGATGCCCTCACGTACCTCCTTAGCGAGACCTTCGAGCAGCAGCAGTTCGGCAGCAAGTCGTTCCTGAGGGAGCTGCATGCCTCGAGGGGCGGCAAGGGCGGCATCCTAGAGGTGGGGCCGCGGATGACCTTCTGCACTGCATGGTCGTCCAATGCAGTGGCCATCTGCCACAGCTGCGGACTCACCAAGGTCTGTCTGCCAGAGGCGCACAGAGGATGAGAGGGGAGGGGATTGTTCCTCTCTCTCGTGTGTGTGTGTGTGCAGGTGACCCGCATCGAGCGCAGCCGACGTTATCTGTTCGCCTTTGGGAAGGCGAGCGACCCCACGACCAATGTGCAAGGTCCGGTCCGCAGAGGCATCCGATCCATCGATTTGTGTACGGATCTGTGTGTGTGGATTGTGTTGTGTTGTGTTTCGCCGCATGGGTCATCAGACTTCCTGCAGGAGGTGGCGCCCAAGGTGCACGACCGCATGACCGAGTGCGTCTACCCTTTCCCCATCACCTCGTTCGAACTCAAAATCAAAGTCAGCACACACACACACACACACACACAATCTGACAGTATTTGTGTATCTGTTGTGTGCTGTGTCGTGTGCAGCCGGAGCATTGGGTGTCTGTCGACGTGATGGGCAAGGGCCGTGCCGCCCTCGAGGCCATCAACAAGGAAATGGGCCTCGGATACGACGAACAGGTCACACACACACAAACACACACACACTCAGAGGCACCCACCCCAGACACCCGCTCGTTCATTCGGCCATGGCCCCCCACTGTGTTGTGTGTGCCTTGCAGGATTTGGACTACTACACTCGTCTGTTTCGTGACGAGCTGAAGCGCAACCCCACGTCGATCGAGTGCTTCGACCTGGCCCAGGGCAACAGTGAGCACAGCCGCCACTGGTTCTTCAACGGCAAGCTCGTCATCGACGGCCAGGACATGCCCGAGACGCTCTTCCAGCTCGTCAAGAAACCCTTCAAGATAAACCCCAGATTTAGGTGGGCTGATCTCTGTCGTCCATCGGTGTGTCTGTGTGACACTCGTTCATTCATTCATTTCGTGGATGGATGCAGCACTGTCGCCTTTCGCGACAACTCGTCGGCGCTTCGCGGCTACGTCCACCAGAACGTGCACCCATCGCCTGATGTCGACGGCAAGGCCGCGCCCTACAAAGTATGTCTGCCTGCCTGCCACATACAAAGACAGGCATCATCAATTCGCGCATGCGCACGTGTGTCTGTCTGTGTGTGTGTGTGTGCCCATCCATCCATGCATCGGTGGATCAGTCTGTGACGAAGGACTACGACCTGACCTTCACGGCAGAGACGCACAACTTCCCATGCGGCGTGGCGCCCTTTCCCGGAGCTGAGACCGGCACTGGCGGGCGATTGCGGGACGGGGCAGCCACAGGCCAGGGGTCACTCATCATCGCCGGCACGGCGGCATACTGTGTGGGGGCACTGAGAATCCCTGGGTGGGTGAGCGGGACAAAGAGGGAGGGAGGGGGGGTGAGGGGGGCATGTGTGGATGGATCGACGTGTGTGTGGGTGATTGGAGTGGTGCAGGTATGACATGGAGTGGGAGGACTCGGCCCGTGAGTGGAGCTACCCGTCAAACATGGCGGACCCATTCGATATTCTCATCGAGGTCACACACACACACACACACACTCTCACTGATGACGACTCGACTCACACGTGCGTGTCTCTGAAGCTGCTGTGTCTCTGCGTCTGCGTGTGTTGCGGTGGTGCAGGCGTCGAACGGTGCGTCCGACTACGGCAACAAGTTTGGCGAGCCCATCATCCAGGGCTACACACGCTCCTTCGGACTCAGACTGCCGGACGGAGAACGGTACTCACACACACGCACACACGTGCCCACACACACAACCCGCTCATGTGTGTGTGTGTGTGTGCTGGTGCACTCATGTGCCGTGTCGTACGACGCAGTCGTGAGTGGATCAAGCCCATCATGTTCACGGGCGGCATCGGGCAGATGGACCACCGACACATCAACAAGGGAGACGCCGAGAAGGACATGAAGATCGTCAAGATCGGCGGACCCGCATACAGAATCGGTACACACGCACACACACCCATACACAGGCACTCATCGGTCCTCCTTGTGCGGTGTGTCCACAGGGATGGGTGGCGGGGCGGCCTCATCGATGGTTGCCGGCGACAACCAGGCCGATCTCGACTTCAATGCCGTCCAGCGAGGAGACGCTGAAATGGAAAACAGGGTACACAACACACACACAAACAGCACACAAGGATAACCCCCAACCAGCGTGGTAATACCTTCCTGCATGGTGTGGTATCAGGCCAATCGTGTGATCCGTGCGTGTGTGGAGCTGGGCGAGGCAAACCCCGTTGTCTCGATCCACGACCAGGGCGCGGGCGGCAGCGGCAACGTCCTCAAAGAAATCACCGAACCGGGCGGCGGGTTCATCGGTCAGCGACATTCCCTCCCTCCCTCCCTCCCTCCCCCTCTCCCACACACCCCTACACAAAGGGCACTTTCGCTCTCACTTCCAATCAGACATTCGGAAGATGTTGTGTGGCGACAAGACCATGTCGTTGCTGGAGCTGTGGGGGGCCGAGTACCAGGAGAACTACGCGCTTCTCATCCGCCCCGAGTCGGTGGAGCTGTTCGACACCCTCTGCAAACGTGAGAAGGCCCCGTACAGCGTCGTTGGGCACATCACTGGTACACTCACACTGACTGCCCCAATCCTTTCTCCGTCCATCTCATCTCCATCGCTCTATTGTTCTCTGTGTGGGTGTGGGTGTGTGTAGGCGATGGGATCGTGCGTGTGTGGGATGCCGAGGACGGCACAACACCAGTCGACCTGCCTCTGGAGAAGGTGCTGGGCAAGATGCCACAGAAGGTCTTCAAGAGCGACAGAAAACAGTCCATCAGCAGACCACTACAGGTCAGCACGACAGACAGGCAATGAGAGGCAGGCGGGCTGTCATGTGTGTACGTGGGTCGGTCGGTCGGTCGGTTGTGTGTTTGTTGTGTGCAGTTCCCGGCTGATGTGACGGTCATGAGTGCGCTTGACCGTGTGTTGCGGCTCAGCTCCGTGGGGTCGAAGCGGTTCCTCACCAACAAAGTCGACCGGTCCGTCACGGGCCTCATCGCACAACAGCAGTGCGTCGGGCCGCTGCAGGTACCACCTCACACAATCACAGACATACACATGGATGGATCCCTGCTGTGTGTCGGTATCCGGCCGTCGACAGTTGACTCTCTCCGATGTGGCAGTGGTTGCCCAGAGCCATCTCGGCACGACAGGTGGCGCGACGGCCATCGGCGAGCAGCCCATCAAGGGCTTCCTCGACTGTGCCGCCATGGGCCGGCTGGCATGCGCTGAGGCGCTGACTAACCTCGTGTGGGCCAAGGTGACGGCTATCGAGGACGTCAAGGCATCGGGCAACTGGATGTGGGCCGCAAAGGTCAGATCAGAGAGAGGGGAGGGGAACGATTTCTTTCAACGGCTGCACTGCATCTGTGTGTGGTGGGTGTGTATGGAATGCATGTGTGTGAGTAGATGGAGGGCGAGGCGGCGAATATGTACGACGCTGCCAAGGCCCTCTCGGACTTCATGATTCAGATCGGCATGGCCATCGATGGAGGCAAAGACAGGTCAGCCAACCCCACACCAACCCACCCCCCATACACACCCCCTGCTGCCTCCTTTCAGTCTGTCCATGGCCGCGCGCGACCCCATAGCGAAGGAGACGGTCAAGGCCCCCGGCGAGCTGACGATATCGGTGTATGCGCCGTGCCCCGACGTCAACCTGACCGTCATGCCCGACCTCAAGTGCGGCGGTGATGGTGTGCTGCTGCTGATCGACCTGGACCTGAGGGGCTGGTGTCTGGGCGGCAGCAGCCTCGCCCACTGCTACGGACAGATCGGCGACCAATGCCCTGACGTCGATGTGAGTGGGGGAGGCCACAGACGGGAGAGGACATGGGGGAGAGAGAGTGGTCTGCGGCTGTCTGCAGGCTGCATCGCTGAAGAACGCCTTCAACGCGGTGCAGGAGCTGATTAAGAAGCGGCTCATCACCGCGGGCCACGACAGATCTGACGGCGGGCTGATCACCACAGGTGTGCACCCGCAACAGACAAGCACTCAACATCGCACACACGTGACAGCCCTCCCTGTGGTGTGTCGTCGCAGTGCTGGAGATGGCCTTCGGCGGCAACTGTGGCGTCACCATCGCACTCGACAGCCTCCCGGCATCGGTCGACTTCCTCCACGCCCTCTTCAGCGAGGGACCCGGGCTCGTCTTTGAGTGCGCCAAGGCCAACGAGGCGGCTGTGCGTGAGGTGCTGCAATGGCACGGTATGGGCGCGGCGAGTGTGCATGCGATTGGGGGAGGGAGAAACGACACCAAAGTCGAGGTAGGTTGAGAAAAAGAGATGCGGGGGGTGCCTTGTCATGGTGCGGTGTGATGTGGTGTGATGTGGTGTGTGCAGGTGTCCGTGGGTGGCAAGGTGCTGCTGTCCGATGACGTGAGGCAGCTGCGGGACATCTGGGAGGCCACCAGCTTCCAGTGCGAACTCAGACAGGTAGGTGATAACCGACACACACCACACGAGAGCCTCTGTTCATTCATTCACCTGTGTTTCCTTATCATCTCTGCAGTGCAACCCCGAGTGTGTGGCTCAGGAGCGTGACGGCCTCAAGCACCGCACAGCCCCGCCCTTCAAGCTGACCTTCGACTTCCACCCCACCTCTGACGCCAAGCTCACTCAGGCCGACAAGATCAAGGTCGCCATCATCCGGGAGGAAGGCAGCAACGGCGACAGAGAGGTAGGAACCACAGACACACAAGTGTCCGCCCGCCCCACAGACAGACACACGCACACACACGTGTGCCTGTTTGTCTGTGTGTCTGTGTGTCTGGTAGATGGCGACGGCCTTCCACATGGCAGGCTTCGAGGCGTGGGACGTGACCATGACCGACATCAGCAGCGGGCGCGTCAACCTGCAGGACTTCAGGGGCGTCGTCTTTGTGGGCGGCTTCAGCTACGCCGACGTGCTCGACAGCGCCAAGGGGTGGGCGGCCACCATCCTGCTCAGCGACAAGCTCAACGGGGAGTTCGAGGCCTTCTACAAGAGGAACGACACCTTCTCTTTGGGCGTCTGCAACGGTAGGTACTCCAGCCATCAGGCTGGCTGGCTGGCTGGCTGGCTGGCAAGTAGTCGGTCGGTCAGTTCTGCCACCTGTTTGTTTGTGCGTGTGTGTGGCTTCAGGGTGCCAGCTGATGGCCCTCTTGGGGTGGGTGCCCGGACTTGAGAAGAACATCCCACGCGACAAGCAGCCAAGGTGGGCGGCGATCGCGATCGCTCTACTCACACGTGACCTGTTGTTCCCTCTCTGTCTGTCTGTCAGGTTCATTCACAACGCCAGCGGCCGCTTCGAGTCGCGATGGTCGGCCGTGCGCGTGGAGTCGAGCACATCCATCATGCTGCAAGGTATGAAGCACACACGCCCATCTATCCACCCACACCTCCGCGGCTCCCTGTTTGACTGACGTCATGTCATGTGCGTGTCTACTAGGCATGGAGGGCTCTACTCTCGGCATCTGGGTGGCCCACGGTGAGGGCCAGGCCTATTTCCCCGACCCTAGTGTGCTCACACAGTGCCAGCGGGACCGAGCCATCCCCCTCACATACGTCGACGACCAGAACCAGCCCACCGAGGCGTACCCCTTCAACCCCAATGGCTCACCGCAAGGCATCGTCGGCCTCTGCAGCCCTGACGGCCGCCACCTGGCTCTCATGCCGCACCCGGAGCGGTGCATCCTCACCTACCAGTGGCCGTACGCGCCGCAAGGGTGGACCAAACAGCACAGGGAGGGGGAGCTGTGGGGCCGGCACGTGGCACCCTGGATCAAGATGTTCCAGAATGCACGACAGTGGTGCGAGAGAAATGCCTAGTGAGTGGCTGGGTCTGTCGGTGGCTAGCGAGGTGGATGCGTCAGTCGGGCGGCTGCCTGACTGTCTCGTGTGTGCGTGATGACTGGCTTGTCTTTTTCCCTCTGTCACTCACTCTTCTGTCTGTGTGGTGTGAATCATATCATGCTGGCCGATCGACCAATGTGGTCATTTTTTGAATGTCGTCCGTCGTGTGGCGTGATCGATCGTGTCCGTCGGTCCGTCCCGAGAGAGTGCGTGGCGATCGAGTAAGGCCCTCTGGATCTCGCGAGCAGTGGCGGGATCCATAGGACAGTTTTCGTGTTTGTTTATGTGTGTGTGACAGTCAGTCAGCTATGTCTCTGTCTGTGTGCAGCGACCGATCGCCCACTGAATACGTAGACGTACACACAATCGCAATCAATCGGCATTTCCCGCGACGAACACACAAGCTGATTGTCACACGTCCCCACTCACAAGCAATTGCTAGCGAGCGACTTGAAGCAATCAATCGAGTACGTGTGAGTCGAGAGAGATGGTGAGCGGTGACGTGGAGAGCCAGACGCCCCTCATCGGGCAGCGCGGCCAGCTGGTGACCAAGGACATCGAAGTGGACATTCGCAGAGACTTCATCCTCAAGGTAGGTTAGCCACGTGTCGATAGATGTCTCACAACAGCTGACTGAGCGTGACTTGCCTTGTCCTTGTTTGTGTCTCCTTGATCAGGTGTATGGGATACTCGCCACGCAGATCATCCTCACCGTCCTCGTCGCGCTGCCCTTCGTACTCGTCGACGCCGTCCAGAGTGACATGAGACAGAGAGACAGAGAGAGAGAGAGAGAGACAAGGACACCGTCTTGTCTGACTCGTCTGTGTGTCTGTGTGTGTGTCTCGGTGCATGCAGCGTTTGTGCGCGACAACTCGGGCCTGATTGGCTTTGTGACCATCCTGAGTGTGTTCGGCTTCCTCATAACCTTTTCGCTGAAGCCCGAATCGATCAAAACGCACCCCTACGGCCTACTCGTGAGCCGCGGGCAGCGAGACACACAACAAAGACATTGCTCTCATCTCTCTGTTGGTTGCAGACGCTGTTTGGCTTCACTGTCGTGGAGGGGGTCTTCATCGGAACGCTGTGTGTGTTCCTGACGCCCTCGAGCGTGCTCTTCACCGTGGGTGTGTGTGTGGTGATCGTCGGATCGCTGACGGCCTGGGCGGTCTTCGCCAAAGCCGACTTCACAGGTACACACACGGCGACATATATGTGACATACACACCCAACCACACACACGCAATGTCTTGTTGCAGGGTACGCGCCGTTCGTCTACGTGGCGGGGCTGGTGTTTGTGTTGTTCCTCATCGCCGGCCTCCTCTTGATGCCATTCCTGCCTGGCGTACGCACAACTCAGACAAGACACAGAGGCCACACACATGTGACTCGCTGCGTGTGTGTCTCTGTGTGCAGGTGTCGGTCTTCAACATGGTCATCTCAGCGTTGTTGGTGCTGTTCTTCTCGGCCTACCTGGTCATCGACACGCAGGCCATATTGGGCGGCCAACACAAGTATCAGTTCACAGTGGACGACTACGTCTTCGCCGCACTGGTGAGCCCCACCCCCAACACGCGCAGTGACACACACGGCAATCAGTGTGTCGTTCGTTTTGTGTCGTGTTGGTCGTGTAGGCGATTTACCTCGACATCGTCAACATGCTGATCCAGCTGCTCTCAGCATTCGGACAGCGCAAGTGAGAGCAAGGCCGACAAACAAGAGGGGACAAAGGAAGGACAGCCACACAAGACTGACTGACTGACTGACGACGTGTAAGAGAGATCAACGGCTAACAGACTTCTCGACTGATTGATGGATGCATTCACATTCAAGTCACTGATGTGATGGGGTGAACACATCGTAATTCATTCAATGTCATTGTACGTTGTTGACACATTCGAAAAAAGCGCTGTGCTGCGTGTCTGAGGGAGGTGCACATTCGGATGGCACGGCCACTCACTGTCATTCACCCATCCACACGACAAATGTCTATCTCGTCGAGTGTTCGGCACATCATGCAGTGTAAATAAGGTACACAGACACATCCGTCGATCCATCGATGTCTGTCTATGGCATTGTCAGTCGATTAGAGGTAGACGGAGAGGTGGTTGGGCCACGGCTTCCTCTTCATGGCCTTGCGCTTGATCTCCCCGTACTTGTCGTTCCACTCCCACATGCGCTCCAACTCACGACCACTCTGATTGATCACACAAACACACAACACATCCATGCATCCATGCATCCATCCATCCAATACAGAGCACAATCTATACCACGCAACGAACGCCCCACACCTATTTGCTTGACGTGATGTCGTGTGTGTCAGTCACCTGGTTGACGGATGCCGAGAGTTTCTTCATGGCTTGTTTGAGGTCGTCGGCGGTGACGGGCCGCAGCTCAGTGGGGCTCGCGATGGCCTGGTCGCCCATCACCCCAGAGGCAGGGGCCGATGGCACGTTGCCCTCCTTTCTGAGGTGGGACTCGAGCTGGCGGGCCTGCTCATGGCTGATCTTGGTCACGCCATCGCGACACACTTCCTTGATGTCACTACCTGCAATGGATGACAGACACGTAGGCCGAGGCCACTCAGACGTGTGATGCGATGCAGTGTGGCGGTCTGTTCCTCTCTGTCTGCTGAGAGACTGACGGACCGGTGTAGCCCTCCATCTGAAGCGCGAGGTCGGTGACGTTGACGTCAGGCGCCAGGCGGTTGTTGCTCAGGGTCACCTGCACACACACCCAGCGAATCGACACACGCAACGGAGTCCATCCATTCCATCCTGCCCACTCACTCATTCACCCACTCACCCTGAGTATCTCCTCCCTGGTCTTGTTGTCGGGCAGGTCCACCAGGATGCGCCGCGGCATCCGACGCAGCACGGCCTCATCCAACGCAAACGGCCGGTTCGTCGAACCTGAACAAAAGCAAAGACCCATTCGACACACACCAGCTGCTGCCGGTGAGGTGCGAATGGCGGCGTGTGTTGTGTTGTGTTGTGTTGTGTTGTGTGCGCACCGATCACAACGACCCGGTCTCTTGTGGTCCTGAGGCCGTCCCACTCCTGCATGAGGGTGGTCTTGAGGCTGGTCAGCGTGCCGTGGGTCGTGTCGTCGCCGCGATCGCGGCTGCTCAGCAGAGAATCAACCTGACAAAACATTACACCACACACATCGTGGCTGGCCATCCAGATGGCTGCAAATATAGGATAGGCATGGGTGGGTGCGTGTGTGTGTGTGTGTCCCTCCTGCGCTCAACACCAGCCCCCACAACCTTAAGAAGGGGGCAAGTGTGCGATCGACAGGGGGTCGGCTCAGGTCCGTGTGGCACGACAACGAGCAAAACTCAAAAGGAATGCAGTCAACCGCTTCTGAGCTCTCTGTTAGCGTGCTGCCCATCTGGTGTCTGTCTGTCTGTCTGGGTGGTGAGTGTGTCGCATTGACCTCGTCCAGGAAGATGACGCAGGGCGCCAGCTTTCTCGCGAGCGTGAACACAGCCTGGCGCACACACACACACACACACACACACACAGAGAGAGAGAGAGAGGCAGAGAGAGAGAGAGACGTTGAGCCTTCTGTGTTGTGTGCCCCTTCTCACTCTCTCTGTCTGTGTGGACGTACCTTTGCCATTTTCTCTGATTCTCCGAGCCACATGTTCTCGACAGATGATGCGTCGACCGACAGGAAAGTGGCCCCTCCCTCCGTCGCCACAGCCTTGGCCAACATGGTCTTGCCCGTGCCTGGCGGGCCGCTGATCCAAGACACAAAAGAGGCATCGTGTTTGGGGGTCGCTCTGTGCAGTGGTGTGTGTGTGTCTGTGTGTGTGTGTGTCTCACAAGAGCAGCACGCCCTTGACGGCTTCCTCAGCGATGCCCTCCTGGTAGAGGTGGGGGTACTTGAGCTGCAGTTGAAACAACACCCACGCCACATCGCACCAGTTGATTCACATCGGATAACCATAACCACAACCAGCCAGCCTCTAGCTAGAGTCATATGAATGTAGGTAGACGCACCGGGTAAGTGATGCATTCCCTCAAGAGCTCCTTGACCTCCTCCAGCCCCCCGATCTGGTCGTACGTCACGTGAATGTCTTGCGGAGACACCACGTTGGCCACCAAAGACTGCGCAGCACACGGAACGGGCACACGAAGACAGCCAGCAATGGTCATCGATCTGATCCGCCTCTTCGTGTCTGTGCTTCTCGTGTGCGTGGCGGTCCGTGCGCACTTTTTCGTGCTTGTTGCTGGCGAGGCTGGCAACCTCCTCACGACTGCGCACCACAGGCTCGCCCGGACGAGGAACCACACCCTGAGAGCAACAAGCACCACATCGATACGTATACGATCGGTGTGTGGTGGGGGGGCAGTTCGATGTAATAAATACCTCTTCCATCAGGGCCGACTCGAGGCTTCTGGGGCTGACGTCACGCAGCCGCGCCATCATCTGGGAAGAGGAGGAGGATGGAGACGCTGACGTGTCGCCAGGCCCATGTCTTATTGGCTGTGGCTGTGTCACCGCGGCCCCCATCCGCTTGAAGGGCGAACCCCCGCCCTCGCCCTCAGATGAGAACCCTATGGCGCTGTCGAAGACGCCTCCGGCCTGCTTGCTGACCTGTGGGGGATACACACACATGGGTGATGATAAGTGTGGGGTTTGGTGGCCGACTGACCTCTGTCTTGAGGGCTGCTGACAGGATTGCCTTTGTTTGGTCTGAGTCGAGCAGTGACTTGGAGAGCAGCGGCCGGAGGGACTCTAGGTTGGGGCAGGTGAGACCGTTTAGCTCCATTGTCGCCTGGTGGGCCGACACACACACACACACACACACACAGAGGAGAGATCATATGCAGACGTACCGGTAGAACAACTGTCTGTGTGTGAAGGTTGGTGACCTGACCTTGAGCAGCAGCTCGTTGCACCGCCAGATGTGCATTCCGCGGTCGGCTTCCACCCATCTGCATGGATGACATGCAGCCACAGGCAGAACGGGTCCGAGTACACTGACTGCCTTTGAGAGCACACACACATATGGCCATGCGCACCTGTTCCACCTCTCCTTCATGACGGCATCGCGCGGCGGGCGGATGTCGACATTGTCGAGCTTGTCCAGCAAGACCTTGGCCTCTGCGCTGTTGACCAGCTTCTGCTCCTCGTCCTCGACGACTTCCCTGTCCACACACACACACACACATCCATCCATCCATCCACACACAGAAATAACCGCCTCTCCCTCTCCCTCTGGCTCTCTCTTCCAGTCCCCCCTGCCCCTTCCGTCTCTCACTTTTCCTCTGTCTGAGTGTCTTCTTCGGTCCTCTGCGGCCATGGCGGCTGCATGCCGCCGAAGGGGAAGCCTCCCTGCTGTCGGTGGTGCACGGGCAGCACCTGGATGGAGATGTGCTTGATGGCGGGGTCCTGCCGCAGCTGGTCCCGCAGGAACTTTTCCACCTGCTGAGGGTCCTTGCCGATGAGGCCGCCGAGGAACTGGCCGAGGAACTCAATGCAGCCGGGAGGCACGTTCTGGGGGATGGATGGCATGGGGGTGTGGCCCGCTCCCTCCTCGTCGGATGTGTGCTGCTCGTCGTCGATCCCTGGAGTGGGGGCTCCCTGCTCCTGCATCTTGGCTTCCATGAAGTCGCGCATCATCTGTTGGATCGCCTGGCCGATCCACACACAACACATGACGGAAACACGAATCGGCCACAGACATCGTCCCTCACACACATATAAGCGTACCTGTGGCGGCGGCAGTGATGGGTCCCACGACCCTCCAAGCGACACCGAGAATCGAGGCGACGGCGAGTCCTCCCTCTTGCCCTTACCATCCCTATCCCTCCTCGACTCCTTCCCCTGCTGCCGCTGCTGCTGCTGCTGTGGTTGTTGCTGCTGGTCACCAAACCGATGCGGCATACCGAACAGCCCACCAAGTCCGCCACCCGGATAAGCGCCCTGCTCAGGGATAATCCGGCTGAAGTAGACATTGACGCGTCGCTGGCCCTGCCCCGGCGCCAGCTGAGCTGACAGATCGCTGGCGAGCAGCCCGGAAGTGCTCGAGGGAGGGGGGGAAGAGGCCGATGATGCCGGTGAGGGGTCAGCCGCCTCTGCGCCAGCTGCGCCGGCGGGTGGGTGGAGGGCGGGGTCGTCAGCCCCGATGAGGACGAAAAACACCCGGGAAAGCCGGTTGGTGAGCTCGTTGACCAGCAGCTTGCATGACTCGGCTGACCTCAGTACCGACCGGCCGCGATCACGCAGCACCACCAGAAACGGGGGGTCTGACAAATACGCAATCCCATCTGTATGTGTGTGTTTTGGGGAGGGAGAAGGCGCACTTACGGACCTCGGCTTGGTGCTTTCGTCTCTTCTAGTAGAGCGTTGATGGCCTGGTAAGTGGTGATGGTCTCGCGGTTGATCTTGAGGCTGGCCGCGGCCTCGTCGATGACCGATCGGATGGACTTGTCGTCAACCAACACAATCCGCGAACCTGACACGACACACATCGACACGCATGACAGGTACGTCCGAGGCCTGCATGGCATGGATTGCGTGTGCTGGTTTCTGACCGACAGACCTGTGGAGTGCCCGAGGGCTACGGCTAAGACATCCAGCATGGAGTGCGTTGCTCCAGAAGAGGACAACCGGACACCGCCACTCAATCTGCACAGTATGTGAACGACAGACACCAGCACCATAAAGAGACCGCTGGCCGCTGCCATGCCCTTCTCTCTCTCACACACACCCACCCAGGCAGATGGTAGAGGTCGGCAGTGACTTCGGGCGTGTGGCTGAGCTTCACCCCGCCCCACAGCTGCTGTAACGTGCCCCGCTCGATGAGTGTCTTCTGGCCCAGCAGGCCATTCCGGTGATGGAACTCGAAGAAGAACCGCCGCAGCAGGGAGGACGAGAAACCCACGGTGTTTGATGACGGTGACGGTGATGGTGCTAGTGGCGATGAGCTGGCGTCTTCCTGGAAAGGCGTCATGTCCGCATTCACCAAGGAATCTACTCACAAGCCAGACACCGGGACAATGCATGAAGGTCTGTCTGTAGATCTCACTCCCCTCTCTCTGTGTGTGTAGGCCAGGCCCAGCCCACCTCACCGGATTCGAACTGCAGCTGGCCGATGTCGAGTGCGCTGGCGCCCAGAGCAGTCAGCTTGTCACGGGGCAGCGGACTCGACACACGTTTCCTCCACCCTTCCCGCAACTTCTGGAGCACCTTCTGATGCACCTTGGCGTAGTTACTCGGCCCCTCCTCGCCGTCAGGCTTGTCTGCATCGTCATCTCCACCTCCCCCTCCCTCACTTCGACTCTGGCCTGGGCTAACAGCTTCGGTGGGTACTGGCTGTGGCGATGGGTCCGCATTGACCACGCCGAAACGCCTGGCGATGTTCCATCGCGATGGCGCCGTGCTGTCAGTGGCGTTGTCAGCGGCCTTGCCTTGGTCGCTGCCGCCTCTCAGTCGGGCCAGATCAGGCAGCAGGACGGCAGCATGCTGTGTCGCCCTGGTCCGTCTTCGGAACGATGGGCGGGGGACGGGCTCGTGTGGGCGGCTGGACAGTGCGGGGAGGCCGGGCGATGACTCTGATGAGATGGAGATGGATGCGCCGTTTGCGAGCAGGACGGACGCCGTGGCTGGCAGAGATAACAGCTTCATTTGACAGATGGCTGACGACGATGAACCAGGCTGTGGATCTGCTCGACGGAGGGCAATGAAACGCACAAGGGGGAAAGGTTGGTTGGTTAAGGGTTTGACGAGACACCTGTCCCTAAGCCCGGCGCTACCTTCCGGCGCAACCAGGCATCTTCTCTGTCCACAGCACACACCAAACAGGCAACAGGCACATGCAGAATGCATGCACAAGGC